AAAGGAACACCATGACCACGGCAACTCTTAGAAAGGAAAACATTTAATTGGGGTGGCTCAGTTCCTTATCATCATGATGGGAGCAGGACGGGGCAGGCACACACGGTGCTGGAACTGAGCGAGCTGCATCTTACAAGCAACAGGAAGTCAAGTGATACTGAGCAAAGCTTAAGCAAAGACCTCAAGGTGATGTACTTCCTCCAGTATGCCAAATGCCTGACCAGAGGCAACGGCCAACAGTTTAATCCTTCCCTTGTACCCACTTTCATTTCTCTTGCTTTCTATTACTCCACAGCATATGTTTGCTCAAAATTCAGCTGTCTTTTTTGTTTCAGCCCAACCCAGTATCTATTTACTGCCTGTGCCCATGCAATTGTATACAGCTGGATAAAACAAAATCTTCACTTTGAAAGCTGCATCATAATCTTTAATAACACTCCAAATATCCCAGCATCAGCCACCTCTCCCTCGTTAGTTCATTACCTTAGACACTAAATAACTTCCTTCTGTTATCTCTAGACCTCCAATGCCCTTGCCGGCAGCCACAGGACTCACCAAAAGAACAGACACAATCAGAAGAGAGTTGTGTCTTCTTAGGATGAATGTCCTTTCCTAACACAATGACAAACTGGCCCTGTGCCTGCATGGCCACTCCAGTCCTATCCCTCTTGCTAGCCTGGACCTGCTTTCACCCCTGCCCCCGTCCCCCCCCCCCCGTAATTCTCATCTCGGTCTGCGTTCTGACCTCATAACTGTTACCTGATTTCTCCAACTAACGACTAAGTGTCTCATCCCTGATGTGCACACAGCAGGCTTAGTCCCCTCCTCTCTTCCATACCCTCCCCTTTGCAACTCTGCATGAGGTACCAATGACATCCTCTGACATCTTACAATTTACCAAAACCTTGGGTCATCCTTAATACCTCCTCAACCCACATCAATCAATCTGCAAGTCTCTCTCTCTCTGTCTCTGTCTCTCTGTGTCTCTGTCTCTCTGTGTGTTTCTCTGTCTCTGCTTTCTCTCTGTGTGTTTCTCTTCTCTCTCCCCTCCTCCCTCTCTCTCTGGTGCTGTGATAGACCCCAGGACCTTGGGCACAACAGGCAAACAGCTATATACTGAGCTACAGCCCAGTTCTTTGTAGAGGCCTGATTATTCCATCCTCACTCCCACTCCATTCATCCCCGCCCACTTCTTTCCATTCCCACTGCCACCTCCATTCTCTGAGCTCTGGCTTGAACTAATCCGAGTCCAAACAGCTTCCCTGCTTCCACTTTTGCCCTCTTTCTGTCGATCCTCAGCAGAGGAACTGGAGCAAATTTTCTTGTTGTTGTTGTTTGTTTGTTTGTTTGTTTGTTTTAAAACAAAAGCCAAGTTCTGTCTACTTGAAATCCTCTACCATCTGTCCTTTGCAGAACAAAATCCAAAAGCCTCACCATGCCACAAGGCCCCAGAGCCCTTTCTTCCTCTCTGTCCACTCTAGATCACTACCCTTCCGGTTCCTATCCCATCATTTGAGATTATTTTGCATGAGGAAAACTGTCCTCTTCTGGAATGTTCTTTCCATACATCCTCACATGCCCACCAGCCTCCACATGTTCTCTCCCCAGAGAGACTGTGATCTTAAAGACTGCCTTCCCCTCCTGGGCTGGTGACGGAATTCAGTAGCAGAGCACACGCCCACCATGTTCAGTCAGGCTCCTAGGTTCAAATCCCAGCAGAGAAAAGAAAGGTGATGCCTTGCCCTTTGCCCTTTATTCAGCACTGGCCTGGTTTCTCAGGGAGCCCTCCCTCCGTGAGCTCAGCCCACATCATCTACTCTTCTGCTCATCGTCTATACTCTCCACAGGACTGGGTGGCCCGGAGCCTAGAGCCACGCCAGCCACAGAGACAGTGCTTAAAGAACATAGAGAATTAACGAGTTACTCGTATGGTAAAAATCAAAGCCTGGAGGGTGGCTCGGTGCTGAAGAACACTTGCTGCTCTTCCAGAGGACCTGACTTCAGTTCCCAGCACCCACATCATGTGACTCACAACCACCAGGGAACCTAATGGCTGTCTCAGGCCTCCTCCAGCAGCCTGACTCACCTGCGCGTACTCCATACAGATATACATACACGCATAATTAAAATTAGTTTTTTTTTAAAAAATCAAACTGATTTAAAGACACTTCACAGAAAACGCAATTGCTACACTAGGATTGAGTTAGACTTGTAGAGAAAGACCTTAACGGCAATAAGGAGATATATGGTTCCAAGGGGAGCACCTACAGTCATACTCTCTTAGTATAATGTCACGCTATTGCTACAGTTCAAAATGGCCTGCCAGGTGTAGTGGCTCACACCCTGATCCCAGCACAGAGGAGACAGATGCAGGCAGATCTCTATGACTTCCAGGACTGGGATATATAGAAAGTCTGGGCCAGTCAAAACTATACAAGATCTTGTCTCGGGTGAGGCTCTGTCAGTGCCGCCGCAGCAGCGCTGGCCTGTTCGCAGACGACACGCAGAGGGAAAGCAGCTGCTGCATCTGGGAGCTGGCCTGGGCTGACTAGGCCTTCCGCAGTGTTCTCTTTCGTCTTGGTGTATTCTTTTTTAATGTTTTATTGCTGTTGCTGTTGCTATATTTATATTTTAGTGTGTGTATATGAGTGCGTGTGTGTATGCATGTGTGTATACATGTGCTATGGTACAAGTATACATGCCAGGGACCAACTTCAGGGAGTCAGTTCTCTTCTTCCACCGTGCTGAGTCATGGGGACTGAACTCAGATCATCAGGGTTAGCAACAAGTGCCTTTACCTGCTGAGCCATCTCAGCAGTCCACGTTTTGGTTGATTCTTAGAGTCAGAGGCCCTCTTCATGGTCCGAGCTGACCTCACACTGCGGTCCTCCTGCCTCAGAATCCGAAGCACTAGGACTACAGGTTGTCACCGCATCAGCTGTACTCCCCTCTTGAGCATAACAGCAACAAAGCCACTCTGCGGCGGTCACGAATCAGGAAACGCAGCAGGCTCTATGACGCTATCCGCACAAACAGGCCTGAGGGCTCCGTGCCACACACTGAATGTCACTGCTTACTAGCTAATGCTTCTTTCTCCTTTAGCCCTGCCTCTTCCTTTGTCTAACCTCCCTAAAGGCGAGATCCATAAAGTGCTGAATCACAGACCTGCCTTTATTCTGACAATACCCAATCGTGGGCAAAGCTGCCTCCCCAGAACACTCCACGTCTGCCACTGCCACTGCCACCAGGTCTTCAACACTGTCTTCCTGAGACCTGCACACAGTGTGTCCCCTCCCTCTCTGCGATGAGAAATGCGGGCCCAGCATGCCGGTTACGGGTGTATTGTGATTGTGTGTGGGCAGTGATAGCTGATTGTGGCACCAATACCAGCCCAGGCCACTGCCCAGGCAGAAGTCACAGGGCCTGCTGGGGAGTTGATCCTAGCTCCCCTACCTAAAAACGGGAGGGAAAGGCCCAGGCAGTGAAACATCACAGTCACGGTGAGTAATGGCACGGTTAATCCCACATGCCCTGCACAGCTCCCCTCCTGCCCAGGCTGTGGGAGGACCAGCTCAAGGCGGAGCCTGAGGCAGCGCCTGAGGCAGCACCACGCTAGTACCTTAAGTCACAGGTTCAAGCCCGATAAATTAGCCCAGGCTTAAAGAAGTCAAGCTGTACATATGTAAGGATTTTAATAAGCTTGGGAAAGGCTACCTGGAACTATGTACAGCTTACCATACCAGTGAGGCGCCCTGCCATCAGCCACAGAACACCAAGACCCTGACGAGCGCTGTGGAGCACACAAGGTGGCAAGAGCAAGCAGTCAGCTTGGTCCAGGCTTTCTCAGGAACTGGGGACTTACGGCAAATGGCTGGCAGCCAGATGACAGACAAACAGAACAGGGCAGGCAGCTCAGCAGAGCCAATGGCATTTACCAGGAAGACATGCCAAGGGTTCCTTTGGTGGGAATCTGGGACTTGCACACCCTTGCAGAAACCAGCAAACACTGTAATCAATGTCTGCCCTGTAATCGATGCCTGTTTGTACTCACAAGCATGGAGAGCAAAGCAAACATGGTCTCTGACTGCTAGATGCCAACACCTAACATAAATAAAAACAAGAAATCTGTCCAAAGGATTACTGAAGTAACTGAGCAAACACGAGCTAGTCAGAAGCATTGACCGTACACGAACGCAGTGGAGGAGTCATGAAAGCTAAGTCATGGGAGACGACTCTCTGAACAGGGTGCGGCCCAATGGAACAGTTACCTGGGAAGGCTGGGTCTCCCCCGGGGAGGTCAGATTTTGAGAAAATGTTCAAGGGCTGGATAGCAGGCTAGGAGCTGGCCAGGAAGGGGAAGAGGTGCAGCATAGGAGAGGGTTTAGAGGCAAAACACAACTATGAGTTGTTGATTCTTTTTAAGTGCCCTGATAAAGCAGAGAAAGCAAGCAGAGTATGCCTCTCACCTGGCCTCCTGCATACACCTTCTAGTACACAGAAAAACACTCACATTCTCATTTAGAGTTACTCAGAAAAAGACGATCTTGCCCAACCCCAAATCAAAGCTACAGTGGCTTCAGAATCTGATAGTCAATCATTCTCTCTCTCTCTCTCTCTCTCTCTCTCTCTCTCTCTCTCTCTCTGTCTCTCTCTGTGTGTGTGTGTGTGTGTGTGTGTGTGTGTGTGTGTGTGTGTGGCAGGGAGGCGAGATCATGAACTGGAGTCAGGCTGGAACTCACCATGTAGTCCAGGCTAACCCTGAACTCACAATCCTGTCTCAGTTTCTCCAATGCTAGGATTCCAGGTCTACACCACCACACAGACCTGATTTCTAAGCAACAGAAAACCAACCCTTTCCCCAGAGCTCGGACTGTCTGAGTCAGCAGGGACAATCTCATAAGGAAGAGAGGGTGTGGGTCCAAGCGCACATGGCACCAAACAAACAGTAGTCACATAACAGGGCAACTGACAAAAACAGAGCCTGGCACATCAGAACTTACCTGATTAAAATTTTTGAAGGTGAACTCTTTGTAGATGGCATCTCTGTCACTTAATTGTGACCATCCTGCTGCCTTCAGGCCAGGAATAAGTTCGTTCCTCTCCTCTGCAGTCAGCCACTGCGCATTTGAAGACTAGGAAGAAAACACAATCCCTGTCTGAAAGGGTAGGCATTTATTTAAACTCTTTCCAAAAACTTATACCTCTTATGAAGCAATATAGAAAAAAAAAAGGTAACAAATTCTAGCCATCCTTCATTAGTTTACTCTCAAAGACAGGCAAACTCTGTATGGGCTGTCCAAAAAGATGGCTGGGGTTCTGTGTCTGCTCCTAAGTGCTTGCCTCAAACGCCACAGCTCAGCAGCTCTGGTGTGTACGGCTACAACTAAGACTGCTACTGCCACCAGCCTTCTTAGACGCATCAGAAGTCCAGGACATGCAACCGAGGCAGAACCAACTCTCCAGAGGCTGCTGAAAGGACCAGGCCGGGAACTCAGGGCTCTAACCCCGTTCTGCCGCTCTCTGGATGGACTTCAGCATCTCCTGCCTCTGCAGCTCACTCACGTGGGTTAAACTACTTCGGGTGTCTATTCCCTTTGATATAGAATGAAAACCCCACTACAGAGCAGAGACCAAGTGTGCATTTCCATGGAATTTTGTACAACCCCCACTGGGGATTCACAGTCCCTCTACCACAGGCAAAGGTCCTTGCTTTGAAAACAAGAGCGCCAGGGAAACACACTCCCTTCATGTGTCACGGGACCACCGGGAACATCCGGAGCTCCTGTCTGCACTGTCCACCTCATCCCTGCTCCCCAGGGACAGTCACAACTCGGCCCTGGAGCCATTCATCCTGTGCCTTCCTTTGCTACCTAAAACATTACACACTATGAACACATTGCTAGAAACAATGAACACAGTTTCTCATTCCAGCTTAAGCACCTACAGCCACCTCAGGCCTCACCTTTTAGCGGGGTGACTATGGGCTCTGGTGAGACCTTCTCAGCAAGACTGTCCCCCGAAACACTGAGCTAATGTTGAAGGCACTGGGGGAGGGGTGGAGCTGCAGGCTCCAGACTCTGTACATGAAGCTGCACCTCATTCCTGCTTCCAGAATCCTCAAACTTTTTATCACAGACATCCATACAGTTAGGAGAGCATAAGCGCCAGGCGGTGGTAGAGCACAGCTTTACTCCCAGCACTTGGGAGGCAGAGGCAGGTGGATCTCTGTGAGTTCGAGGCCAACCTGGTCTAGAGAGTGAGTTCCAGAACAGACAGGGCTACATAGAGAAACCTTGTCTCAGGGGGAGAAAGAGAGAGAGAGAGAGAGAGAGAGAGAGAGAGAGAGAGAGAGAGAGGTTAATAAGACCATTTTCTAGCTTTTTCTCCCTGATATAGCATCTACTTTCTCTCACTACAAAAGGGGAGAATAACAATGTATCTTAAGTAGACACATTTAAAATCTTGTAATTCAAAATAAGCAATCTTAGTACTCAGGAGGCAGAGGTAGGCAGATTTTCAAGTTCAAGACCTTTGGTCTACAGAGTGAGTTCCAGGACAGCCAGGACTATTCAGAGAAACTCTGCCTCAAAAAGAAAAAAGGGGGGGGCTAAGTAATTCAAAATAAGTATTTAATTCTAAGAATTAATAGCTGGGGAGGGGATGCTGAAGAGATGGCTCAGTGATTAAGAACACTGACTGCTCTTCCAGAGGACCCAGGTTCAACTCCCAGCACCCACAGCAACTCACAACTATAACTTCAGTTTTGTTTTTGAGGACCCTAAACTTCCCATGACAAAACAATGAGGCACACAAAATAAAAATAAAGAATAGCCAGGCATGCCTCTATTCCAAGCACTTGTGACAAAGGCAAGTGGATCTCTAAGTTTGAGGCCAGCCTGGTCTACAGAGCAAGTTCCAAGACTGGGGGAAAAAATAGCTCTGAAATGTTTCTCTGTTGTGTGTTGTTTTACTCTTTTGGCTTTTCAGGGGGCCACCACCCAGCTCCCAGATAAATCACACATGGAGGTTTAATCTTAGTTTTAATGCCCAGCCTTCGCTTGGCTTGTTTCTAGACAACTTTTCTTAAGTTATGTTATTCCAATTACTTTTTGCCTCTGGGCTTTTATCTTTCTCTATTTCTGTATACCTTTCTTTACTTCTTTCTTCATGGCCTGACTATGTAGCTGGGTGGCTTGGCCCCCAGTGTCCTCCTCTCCTTGTCTCTTGTTGCTTCTTGGTCTCCTTTTATTTATCCTCTCTGCCTGCCAGCCCTGCCTATCCTTGCTCTTGCCTCACTATTGGCTGTTCATCTCTTTATCAGGACCATCAGGTGTTTTAGACAGCACAGCTTCACAGAGTTAAACAAATGCAGCACAAACAAAAGTCACACAGCTGAAAATAATATTGCCCATCTCTCTCTCTCTCTCTCTCTCTCTCTCTCTCTCTCTCTCTGTCTCTCTCTCACTCACTCACTCTGAGTGACATAAGTTCTCACTAGCCCAGACTGACTGTGAACTCATGACAATTGTCCTGCCTCAGCCCCTCAGCGCTGGAATTACAGATATATACTACCAAATCCACTGAGTTCTGAAATTTTTCACACAAAGGTCTGCTATAGAATAATCTTCCTGTATGCTGTGAATATGATGCTCTCATTGGTTGATAATAAAAGCTAAATTGGCCCATAGCCAGGCAGAATACAGTTAGTCAGGAAAGCCAAACAGAGAGACAGAGAGAAGGGTGGAGTCAGGAGAGAGATGCAAGCCAGTAGCCAAAGAAACAAGAAGCCAGCAAACTGATAAAAGTCATGGCCATGTGGTAATGCATAGATGAATAGAAATGGGTTAAATTTAAATGTAAGAGCTAGAGTTAAGCTTCCGGTGCGAAGGTCACGGACAAGATGGTGCCCCCAGTTCAGGTCTCTCCGCTCATCAAGCGTGGCCGGTACTCAGCCCTGGTCTTCGGCATGGCCTATGGCACCAAGCGCTATAGTTACCTAAAGCCCTGGGCAGAGGAGGAGAGGAGGGTGGCAGCGGAGGAAAAGAAGAGACTAGATGAACTCAAACGGATTGAAAGAGAACGGGCAGAAGCTCAAGATGACAGCATACTCAAGTGAAGCGCCAGTGAGCTTGCCTTTCTTAAGTCGCTGAGGATGAATAAAGCTTTGTCGTGTGGGGAAAAAAAGAGCTAGTTAGTAATAAGTCTGAGCTATAGGTCAATCAGTTTGTAATCAGTATTACACCTCTGAGTGGTTATTTAAAATCAGCTGCAGGGCAGAGAAACCTCCATTCACAAAGAAACTATAGGAAACAAGCCAAACTGTCAAACACCTCTGTTTGCTTTTCACAGGGACTTGTCAGCAATGAAGACTATGAAATACACTATGGACGAAGCCATCATCATCCAGCAGCTGTAGAGGTGCTGTTTTCTCTGGTGCTGGGCTCTCCACAACCCTTTGGAGACCAAAAGCATGCAGGCTGGCTCATAAAAGATGTCCACCCAGCAACAGAGATTGTAGTCAGTGTTGTTGCTTTGGGTTTTTTTTGGGGGGGTTACTCTTTGTTCTTTGAGTGACTTTACTCTTTGGGACCCGCTGCCCAGCTCCCAAATAATCACACAGAGAATTTTTCCTATTTATGAATGGCCAGCCTTAACTTGGCTTATTTCTAGCTACTTTTTCTTAACTTAAATTATCCCATCTACCTTTTGCCTCTGGGCTTTTACACTTTTTTATTTCTGTATATCTTTTCTTTCCTTCTTATTCTGTGGCTGGCTGTGTGGCTGGCCCCTGGCATCTTCCGCTCCTCCTTTTCTCAATCCACCTCTTTCTTCTTTTTCTCCTTGTATTTATTCTCTCTGCCTGGCAGCCCCGCCTATCCATCTCCTACCTAGCTATTGGCTGTTCAGTTCTTTATTAGACCAATCAGATGTATTTTGGCAGGCAAAGTAACACAGCCTCATAAACAAATGTAACATAAAAGAATGCAACACATCTTTGCATCATTAAACAAACACAATAAATGAGTACATAAACACATCTTAAATTAATACTCCACAAGTCAGGACTGTGAAATGGAGCTAATTCAACTATATAACACTAATGGCCCCCAAAAGACAGCAGAACCCTTTTGTGGGGGAGGGGAGTAATATGATTTATTTCTTAAAGATTTATTTACTTTTTTTCTTCTTGAGACAGGGTTGACAGGGTTTCTCTGTGTAACAGCCCTAGCTGTCCTGGAACTCACTTTGTAGAACAGGCTTGCCTCAAACTCAGAGATCTACCTGCTTCTGCCTCCCCAGTTCTGGGATTAACGGTGTGATTTATTTACTTTTATTTTATGTGTTTTGCCTGTGTATGGGTGTATACAGTGTGTGTATGTATGCACACACACACACACACACACACACACACATGCACTGTGTGCACATATGTTAACTGAGGCCAGAAGAGGACACCAGACTCTCTGGTACTGAAGTTACAGATGGCTGTGCCCCATTCTATGGGGCACTGGAGCAAAACCCAGGTCCTCTGCAAGAGCAGCAAGTGATCTAAACTGTTAGGTATCTTTCCAGCCCCCAGCACACTCCACAGTAGCCAGGGAATGTTTTTCATAAGTGTGGAGGGAAATGTGAAGCAGCACAGGGCTTGGGGAGGGTAAACAATTACCACTGTAACTTTGTACTGCTGTCTGCTACACTTGGCCGGTCTGGATTCCAGGGACCTTGGGCCTATCTATAGCAGGGATATTACAGTGTCAAAATGCCAGGATTTGCTTTGCTTATTTTGGTTTTGAAAGACTTAAAGAGATCTTTTCTTGTACACCTTAATCTCAGCACTGAGGAGGTAGAGGCAGGTGAATCTGTGATTAAGACCAGCCTGATCTATGTTCCCATTGCAAGATTCAAAGAAAGACAGTGTGATATGGGAGGGAGGGAGGGTTGAAAGGAGGGGGAAAGACAGAGACCGTGAATGTGATGGTGCCCAACAGAGACTGGCTCATTCTGTTCCAGACACCATGATTTCATAATATCAGCAGCACTTTGGGTAGGAGTATGCCTTGAGACACACCTAGGTGACAACGGTCAAACTGTGTAGAATTCTGTGTTAAAGAAATTTCACAGCCAGGTGGTGGCACATGCCTGTGTTCTCAGCACTAGGGAGGCAGAAGCGAAAATGTGTAACAGTCTCTCTTTTGGGCTACCAATCAGCTTCCAGATCATGACACAGAGACTTATTATTAGCTATGAATGCTCAGTTTTATCTTGTGCTTGTCCCACCAGCTCTTATAACTTATATTAACCTGTTTCTCTTCATCTACGTTTTGCCTCGGGGCTTTTTACCTTTCTTTCTCACTTTGTATGTTCTACTTTCCTGTCTTCTCCATGTCTGGCTGGAGGCTGGCTGGCTCCCAGCATCTTCCTCTTTTTCTCCCTTGTTCTCCTCTCTTCTCTTCTATTTGTTCTCTCTGCCTGCCAGCCCCGCATACCCCTCTCCTGCCTAGCTATTGGCCATTCAATTTGTTAGATCAATCAGGTGCCTTAGGCAGATAAGGAGAAACAGTCACACATCTTTACATAACTAAGCAAATGCAGCATAAACAAATGCAACACATCTTTACACAGTTAAATATTCCACAACACACGTGTATCCAGAGTTCAAGGTCAGCCTTTGCTACATAAGACCTAGCTCATCAAAAACAAACAAAATGATCTAATCTACATGGGCAGTAGAAAAAGACAAGGTCTCCTGAGTAAATAGGGAGCATGGGGACCATGGGAGAGGGCAAAAGGGGAGGGGGAAGGAGGGGAGCAGAGAAAAATATATAGCTCAATACAAACGAAATAAAACAAAACAAAAAAATGAAATTTCCTACCTTCTTTTATTGGAAGAAAGGGAACAAGTGGGGAAGGGCACACAGGAGAATATGTTTAGAGTACCTGAACACACACATACACACTTGTATAAAAATTATTTTAAATAAATTACTAACTTAAAAAATAATGTTAACTAGCCAAATGCAATAACTAGTCCTGGATTACAGCAGAAAAAAAAATTCTAAATCATTAGTCAAAAACAATGAACGTTATCAGTAGTAATTTTCTGACTTCAACAATTCTACTGTGCAATATAAGAAAAATTATT